AAGCTGTGTAATATTACAATGTATATATCAACCAAATTTATGTAACCAATTCTAGGCTGATGGACATATAAGTTGTTTTCAAAATTTCACTATTATATATAATGTTTAAATCAATATCTTTGTGCATACCTCATCCCTTTTTCAGTTATGTTTTAACATCTCTCTTTTTTTTTTTTTTTTTTAGCATTTCTGTCACTGGGTTGAAGACTGCATGCATTCAAATGTTGAGGTAGGTTATAAATATATAATTAATGAAGATCATAGGCTCTGGAATCACTCTGCCTGGGTTTGAATATCAATTCTTTCACTTAATCTGTATTTATTTAGTAAAATCCTTAATTCTCCATCTCAGTTTTGTCATTTTTAAAATAGGGAGGATAATAAACCAGTATTTTAAGTTTGTTGTGAGAATGAAATGACATGGATGCAGAGCAGGTAATGTAGTGCCCAGTGTCTGATGCATCATATAGTAAGTGGTTCATTACTGATCACTATTTTGTTGTTGGATATATTTTGCAAAACTATTTCCTAGAAAAGATTTACCAATTTATATTCCCACCAACAGTCTAAGACTGCCCATTTTCACATACTGTGTCTGTCACTGGGCTTATTTAACCTTTCAGATTTTTACTATGGTAATATCACCTCTTTATTCCTCCCCCCAAAAAACAGACAAAAACAAAAACAAACCCCGGCAAATTGCATTCCTGGGATAAACTTTACTAGCTCATGGTTTATTATCCTTTTTATATGGTGCTGAATTGAATTTGCTAATATTAAGGATTTTTGTCTTTTGTTCGTGAGGTAGTTTGGTCTGTAGTTTCCTTTCCTTACAAAATCAAATGCCTCTGATTTTGGTATCAAACTAGTACTGGCATATTCTTGCCGTGATTTTTTGAAAGATTGTGTGTATTATTGGTATTATTTCTTATTTAAAATGTTTGATAGAACTCACCAGTGAAACCATCTTAGTGAATTTTCTTTGTGGGAAGATACAAATTTAATAGATATAGAAATACTCATATTTTCAATTCCTTCTGGGTTAGTTTTGGTAAGTTGCTTTTACAAGGAACTAGTCCAATGCATAAATTAGCACTTACTGTAATTTTTTCCTTTTAATATATGCTGGATCTTATGAGGTATCTTTATCATCTAAACATTGGTATTATGTGTTTTTGTTTTTTTTAATCAGTTTTTCTAGAGGACTATCATTTTATTAGTCATTTCAAAGAACCAATTTTGGCTTTGTTAATTTTCTGTTTATTTCATTGATTTCTGCTCTTCACCTTATTTTTGTTCTTCTGCTTACATTAGCTTTAATTTGCTATTCTTTTTCTTTCTTAAGGTAGGTCATTATTTTAAATTTTTCCTCTTTTTAAAACTATAAATTTTATTCAAAGCTCTATTTCAGCTGCATCCCACAAATTGATATATAATATTTTCATTATTCACTTCAAAATATATTCTAATTTTTCTTGTGATTTCTTCATTGACCCATTGGTTATTTAGAAATATGTATCTTAATTTCCAAATATTTGGGACTTTTCTAGAAATCATATTGCTACTGTTATTTTCTAATATACTTCCACATTGTTGATCATATGCTACAAGATTTCAAATGATGTTTATTGGACTTTTTATGCCCAGCATGTGGTTTAACCTAGTGAATCTATCATGTGCACTTGAAAAGATGTTGTTGGGTGTCGTGTTATATCAATGTCAATTAAGTTAAATTAGCTGATAGTGTTGTTCATATCTTTTATATCTTCTACACACTTTCTGATTATTTTTCTCATCATTACTTGATAGAGTGGTTTTAAATCTCCAGCTATAGTTGTGAAATTTTTGTGTTTCTTTTTAGTTCTTTCATTCTTTGCTTCATGTAGTTTGAATCTCTGTTATTAGGTGCATATGTGTTTGGATTTATTATGTTTTCTTGATATATTGATATTCCTATATCGGTGAAATATTGATTATTACTCACATATTAATATGTGAAATACTCTTCTTTATCTCTAATAATACTCTTTGTTTTGAAGTCTACTTAATCAATGCTAAAATCTAGTCACACTAGCTTTCTTATGTTTCCTATTTGCATGGAATATGTTTTTCATAATTTTATTTAATAACTGTCTTTATATTTAAAGAATATTTCTTATGAATAGAATATAGGGGGTCTTGTTGACTTTTTATCCATTTTGATAACCTCTGTATTTAAATAGAATGTTTAGTTCAGTTACATTTAATGTAATTATTGTTTGATTTTTTTCAGTTTAGTTTTAATTTTATATTATAGTTGATTTACAGTGTTGTGTTTCAGGTATACAGAAAAGTGATTCAGTTATACATATACATATATCCATTCTTTTTCAGATTCTTTTCCCATATAGGTTATTACAGAATAATGAGTAGAGTTCCCTGTGCTATATAGTAGGTCCTTGTTGATTATTTTATACATAGTAGTGTGTATATATTAATCTCAAATTCCTAATTTATCCCTACCTCACCTTTTCTCTTTGGTAACCATAAATTTGTTTTTGAAGTGTGTGAGTCTGTTTCTGTTTTGTAAATAAGTTCACTTGTATCATTTTTTTTAGATTCCACACATAAGTGATACCATATGATATTTGTCTTTGACTTACTTCACTTGGTATGATAATCTGTAGGTCCATCCATGTTGTTGCAGATGGCATTATTTCCTTCTTTTTTATGGTTGAGTAATATTCCATTGTATATATGTACCACATCTTGATATATTTGATTTTAAATCTGTCATCTTGCTATTTGGTTGTTACATCTGTATTTTCTTTTTTTAAATTCTCTGTCTCTCCTTTTCTGTTGTATTATTTCATTTCCTCTATTAACTTTTTAGCCATACTTCTAAGTTTTTATTGGTTGCTTTCAGGATTAACATATGCATAATTATTATAATCTACTTACAATTATACTCTTTTACTTAAAAAAGTAAGACTCTTACAGTTGCATAATGGTGTTTACACCCATCCATTGTGCAAACGATGACATATATTTTAATTCTAAATCTATTATGACCTCTCACAGTACAATATTATTATTTGTTTCAAACAGGTGCCTTTAATACAATTCAAAGAGGAAAAAAGAGAGTATCTTTTATATTTTCCTATATAGTTACCATTTCCAGTGCTCTTCATTCCTTCCTGTGGATCTGAATATCAACCTGGCATCATTTCTCTTCAGCCTGAAGAGGTTCCTTTAACTTTTCTTATAGTTTAGCTCTACTGGTGAGAAACTCCCTCAGCTTTCATTTTACAGTTGTCTTTGTTTTACCTTTATTTTTGAAGGTTATTTTTGCTATATGTACATTTCTGAGTTGACAAATTTTCTTTTTTTCAGCACTTCAGTGTTACTACACTGTCTTCTGACCTCTGTTTTGGTGACAAATAGCATTCATTTGTGTATTATATTGCAAGTAATGTGTCTTATCTTTTTGGATTTTAACACTTTATCTTAAAAGATAAAAAAATATGATGTGCCTATGTCTCATTTTGTTTTTTATTCTTTTTGTAGCTTGATGAGATTCTTAAATTTGAAGGTTGATGTTTTCCATCACACTTTGCATATTCCCAATCATAATTTTCTCAGAGTCAAAGTTTATTGACTCTTCAATATGTGGTCTCTAATCTTCGGTTAAACCCATTTAGTTAATTTCACATCCATTTATTTCTTTTTTTATAGTTTTCATTTTCTGCTGATATTTCCCATCTGTTCACTTAATATGTCTATCTTTTACTTTTAACTCTTTGACAATAATAGCTGTTAAGCCCCTTTCTACTAGTTCCAACCTCTAGGCCTTCTTGGCGTCTGTTTCTATTGACTTTTCCCTCCTTTAATATAGAATTCATTTTTTACAGAGGTTTTAGAAACAGAAAAAGTGAGCGGAAAGTACAGAGATTTTCCATGAAGCCCATGCCCCACACATTAACAGCCTCTCCAACTATGAATATTTCACATAAAAGTAGGACATTTGTTGCAGCTGATAAACCTACATTGGCACATCACTATCACCCAAAGTTCATAGTTTACATCAGGGTTAGTTTCTGGTGTCATACATTCTTTGGGTTTGGATAAATGTATAATGACATGCATCTACCATTATAGTATTATGCAGAATAGTTTCACTGCCTTAAAAACCCTCTGTGCTCTTTCCCCCAGCAACCACTGAACATTTTACTGTCCCCACAGTTTTGCCTTTTTCAGAATGTCACATAGTTGGAGTTCTGCTGTATGTAGCCTTTCAAATTGGCTTTTTTACTTAGTAATATTCATTTAAGATTCTTCCATGTGTTTTCATGGCTTGATAGTTCATTTCTTTTTAGAGATGAATAATATTCCATTGTCTGGGTGTACCACAGTTTATTTATCCACTCACCTACTGAAGAGCATCTTGATTGCTTCCAAGTTTAGGAAATTATAAATAAAGCTGCTATAAACATTCATGGGCAGGCTTTGGTATGGACATAAGTTTTTATCTCATTTGCATAAGTATCAAGGAGCACAGTTGCTGGATCATGTGGTAAGAGTATGTTTAACTTTGTAAGAAACCACCAAACTGCCTTCCAAATTATCTGTACCATTTTGCATTTATACCGGCAATGAATGAAAGTTCTGTTTTTCCACATACTTGCCAGCATTTGGTGGTATCAGTGTTCTGGATTTTGGCCATTCTAATAGGCAGGAAGTGATATCTCATTTTAATATCCATTGTCCTCATGGCATATGATGTGGAACATCGTTTCATATGCTTATTGGCCATCTGTATATCTTCAGATGTCTGTTAAGGTTTTGGTCAATTTAAAACTTTTTTTTCTTAGTGTTGAGTTTTGAGGATTTTTTTTGTATATTTTGGATGACAGCCCTGTATCAGTTGTGTCCTTTACAAATACTTTCTTCTAGTATGTGGTTTCTTTTCTCATTCTCTTGACGTTGTCTTTTTTCTTTTTTTTTTTTGCTGTGCTGCACAGATTTTAGTTCCCTGATCAGGAATTGAACCCGGGCCCTTGCAGAGAGTGCAGAGTCCTCTCCACTGGCCCACCATGGAATTTCCTTGACATTGTCTTTTGCAAAGCTTATTAACTGTCTCTTTCATGGATCATGTTTTTGGTGTTGTATATAAAATGTCATAGCCATACCCAAGGTCATCTAGATTTTCTCCCATGTTTTCTTCTAGAAATTTTGTACTTTTGCTTTTTACATTTAGGTCTCTGATCCATTTTCAGTTCATTTTTGTGGTATGTGTGAGGTCTGTGTCTACATTGATTTTTTTTTTTTTTTGGCACATGTGTGTCCAGTTGGTCCAGCATCATTTGTTGAGAAGACTATCTTTGCTCCATTATAGTGCCTTTGCTCCTTGGGTCTATTTCTGGGCTCTCTATTCTGTTCCATTGGTCTATTTGTCTTTTCTTTTGCCAGTACTACATTGTCTTGAATACTGTAACTTTATAGTAAGTGTTGGATATTGCGGCTCTTTTGCCTCTCTATGTAAACATTGGAAATAATTTGTTGATATCCACAAAATGACTTGATAGAATTTTGATTTAGATTGCGCTGAATCTATAGATCATGTTATGAAGAACTGACCTCTTGACAATTTTGAATCTTCCTATCCTTGGAATCCATGATATTCAATTTCATAAAATGGAATATCTCTCCATTTATTCAGTTCTTTGATTTCTCTCATGAGGGTTTTATAGTTTTCTTCATATAGATTTTGTAAATATATTGTTAGATTTATACCTAAAGATTTCATTTTTGGCGGTGCTAATATAAACAGTATTGCATTTTTAATTTTACTTGGTCATTGCTTGTATAGGAAAATAAATGACTTTTGTATATTAACTTTTTATCCCAAAACTTTACTATAATCACTTATTAGCTCCAAAAGGGTTTTTTGTTGTTGTTTTGTTTTTTGGTCAATTATTTGAGATTTTCTGCATTTATGATTATGTCATCTGTAAATAGAAACAGTTTTATTTCTTCCTTCTTTATATATATATATATATATATATGCCTATTATTTCCTTCTCTTGTCTTATTTCATTAGATAGGACTTCTAGTACAATGTTGAAGTCAAGTAATAGGATGGATATCCTTGCCTTGATCCTGATATAAGTAGGAACTTCTAGTTTCTTAACATAAAGTATGATATTAGCTGTAGGTTTTTCGTAGATGCTCTTGATCAAGTTGAGGAAGTCCTCTCCTATTCCTAGCTTGCTGAGGGTTTTTATAATGAATAGGTATTGGAGTTTTGAAGTGCTTTTTCTGCCTCTGTTGATTTTGAACCAGGCTTGCATATATGGGATAAAACTCACTTGGTTGTGGTATGTAATTCTTTTTGCACATTGTTGGATTCAATTTGGTGATTTTTTTTTGAGGATTTTTACATGTATGTTCATGAGCAGTACTGGTCTGTAGTTTTCTTTTTTTTAAATGTCTTTGTCTGGTCTGGTATTAGGATAATTTTGGCCTCATAGAATAAGTTAGGAAGTATTCTTTCTGCCAGTCTTCTGAAAGAGATTGTAGAGAATTGATATAATTTATTCCTTAAATATTTGGTAGAATTCATCTAGGCCTCATACTTTCTCTTTTGGAAATAATAACCTTTTGGGAGGTTATTAATTATCTATTCAATATCTTTAACAGATATAGGCCTATTCATATTATCTATTTATTCTTGTGTCCATTTGGGAAGGTCATATCTTTCAAGGAATAAGTCCATTTCATCTAGGTTATCAAATTTGTGGGCATAGAGTTGTTCACAGTATTCCTTTATTGTCTTTTTTATGTCATTGAGATCTGTAGTGATGTCCCATCTTTCATTTCTGATATTAGAATTTGTGTCATCTTTCTTCTTAGTTAACCTAGGTGAAGGCTTATCAATTTCATTGATCTTTTCAAAGAAACAGATTTTATTTCTTCTGCTTACTTTGAATTTAATTTGCTGTTCTTTGGCTAGTTGCCTAAGATGAGAGCTTAGACTATTGATTTAAGATCTTTCTTCTTTTCAAATATATGCACTCAATGCTATAAAATTTCCGCTAAGCACTACTTTCACTGAATTCCACAAATTTTGATAAATTTTATTTTTATTTTCATGTTTAGTGTTTTTAAATTTGAGATTTCATCTTCAACCCATTGTGTTATTTAGAGGTGTGTTGTTTAATCTCCAAGTATTTGGGGATTTTCCTGCTATCTTTCTATTATTGATTTATAGTTTAATTCCATTGTGCTCTGAGAACAGAGATAGTATAATTTCTGTTTTTTAAAGTTGTTACGATGTGTTTTATGGCCCACAATGTGGTCTCTCTTGGTGAACATTCCATGTGAGCTTGAGAAGAAGGTGTATTATGCTGATTTGGGAAGGAGTGCGTGTACAGATGTCAGTTATATCCAGTTGATTGATCATCCTCTTAAGTTCAACTATGTCCTTAGTGATTTTCTGCCTACTATATCCATTTCTGATAGAGTGGTGTTGAAGTCCCCAACTGTCATAGTGAACTAATTTATTTCTCCTTGCAGGTCTGTCAGTTTTTGCCTCTTGTATTTTGACACTCAATTGCTAGACACATACACGTTAAGCATTATATCTTCTTGGAGAATTGACCATTTTATCATTATGTAGTGCCCTCTTTATCCCTGATAACTTTCTTTACTCTGAAATCTGCTATGTCTGAAATTAATATAGCTAATCCCACTTTCTCCCACATATATATATATATATATATTCATTCCATCCCTTTACTTTTAATCTATATATGTGCTTTTACGTGGCTTTCTTGTAGACAGCATGTAATTGGGTCTTATTTTTTGATCCACTCTGATAATCCCAATACAACTGTGATACCAATACAATTAATTGGTTTTTGTATCATTGATATTTTAAGTGATTATGAATACTGTTCCACGATGTGCAAACTGAAGGCTTTTAGTAATGTGGTGGTAAGGTGTGGAGGTAGAGAAACATGTCCTAAGATTATATCTCAAGTTTTTACTGAGCCAGTAGCCTTGGGCTGTGAACGTCATAAGTGCCTATCAGTTTTTTCCCAGCCTTAAGTGGGAGCAAATGACCGAGGGTACTGAAATCTGGTATTTCCCTTCCCTCCTGTGAAAAGCAAGAGCTGGCTGGAGTTGAGTATTTCCTTCCCCCAGGTTAGTTAGGCTCTGATAAAACCCCAGTGGGTTAGGCTCTGGTAAGATAGTTTATCTTGAGGAGGGCAGGGGTGGTTAAAAATTACAGAATGCTCTGGCATATTATTTCAAAATGGCTACTTGCTCCCTCCCCATGCCAGAACCCCATGAGGATTTTTCTTCGATATTTACTGTAAAAACCTGGTAGGTCTACAGGAAGTAAAACTCAAAAAAGTGTGGGAGTCCCCACCCTAGAGTTTTTAATCCTCAGACGTGTTTACACTGAGCCTCTGGCAATTCATCAATTACAGTTCAGTTTTTCCTATCCCAGCACTGGTTCTCATGGAGGTTTCTCTAGTAAGTTATGATTCTCTGTAACCACCTGTTTGTCTCTCCAATTTTGGGGACAGCCCCGTGACTTAACTTCCAAGATGGATCTAAGAAGAGTTGTTGTGTTTTCAGTTTGTTCGGTTTTTAACTTGTTAGGATGCAGTAGAGACTTGTAAGTTACTTCCATGCTAGCCTGGAAACTGGAAGTCCTCTATTGACTATGTTATTTCTCGATTTTTGGTCCTATTTTCCTTTTTCTTCATGTCTAGTTGTTTTTTTATTATATGGTGGAAATTATAATCATACAATGTAAGGGGAATGTTGAATTTTGTTCATGAAGGAAATGAAATCCTAGCATATCCTCTTGATCTTGTCAGGGTTTGTTTTTTGATTTGCTTGTATGGGTATGCCTAATATGACTGTGGTCATTATTACTAATGTATGATCTTTTGTGGTCTCTTATGAATGCCTGAAGTGGTCAAGAAGAACATCCTCTTCTGGCATGGCCAGAATTTAAACATGTTCTAACTTTGCAGAATCTCAGACTACTTTGCTTGGGTTCCACTTCTTGTTCCATGGTCCAGAGAAGGATCCAAAACAGAAAAGCAAGGTAACAAGGGGCTCACCTCACTTATTTTTCTTTGGTCCATAGTCACAATTTTGTGTTGCCTGTTGTTGGATACCTAAAAACAGTGACCTCATGAATTTTGTCTGGTTCTAGAGTTGTTCACAGTGTGCGAGCATGGCTGATACCTTTCACTCTGTCTTAACTGGATGAAGTCCAACACCTTCTTTTATTTATGTTAGCTTTACTATGTTTTAATATGTGTAATGGAGACACCTCTATCTCTTCTCCCAAAACATTATCATTGCTTTAATTGTTTGTAGATATTCTCTCATAAGTATTACTCTAGGTAACTTTGCCAAGTTTGGAAACATTCTATTGGAATTTTGATTGGAATTGCATTAAATTTTGGCTTAATTTAGGGAGAATTCACATTTTTTTCAATATACTTTTTATTAAATAGCAAGAGTTTATAGCCTTACATTAAATCAAGTTTCCTTTAATATTCCTCAATCACTTTTAATAATTGTGCAAATATAGCTTCTACACATTTAAGTTTATTGTAAGAAAAATATATTGTTTTTGTTGCTATTGTGGATATTCTTTATTCTGTTTTATATTCTAAATTGCCATCATTTATATGAAATAAGGAGTTTTTAAAAAATTTTAACTTTAACCAATCTTTGAACTCTCATTCTTTTCTAGTCTTCTAACAGATCGTTTTGTGTTTTCTACATATGCCATCTAGGTACAAACAATATTTTTTACTCTACCTTATATATATCTTATTTATATTGTCTAATTATAGAAGATAGTACTTCCAGAATATTGTAATCTAAAAGCATTCTTATTATCACCAAAAATTTAATGGTATTTCAAAATTTAGCATCATGTCCCAGAAATAAACCCACTCACCTATGGTCAATTAACCTATGACAAAGGAGGCAAGAATATACAATGGAGAAAAGACGGTCTCTTCAACAAGTGGTGCTGGAAAAACTGGACAGCTACATGTAAAAGAATGAGATTAGAATATTTCCTCATACCATAAACAAAAAGTCAAAATGGATTAAAGACCTAAATGTAAGACCTAAAACCA